ACTGCTTGCTCCTATTCCTTGCTTGAGTCTATTCCACTCTAATCCTACTGAAATCTTGTCCTATCTTAGTGCTTGTGACTGTCTGCTGGTTCTTCTGGCAGCTCCATCAGTTCCTTTCAGAGATTCCCAACTTCTTTCCTTCCACAGACTCTCTCCTTCTCTAGCTCTTCACATTCTCAACTACTAACTCCACACAAATGACCCACACATTTCCAACCCTGACTTATCTCCATCTACGCAATCCTGGAGCTCAGCATGTCTTCCTGATAGCACCTTATCACAGCAAAAACTCTTTATAGCCCATCCCTAAAACTCCCCCTCCCCTTCACAGATGTAATCACAATCTTTGTCACTCCGTCCCCTTAACCTGGATAACAGCTTTGACAGCATCCATATATGTCATTTCTTCCTCTGCAACACCTGTAAGGCCCAACCTTTTCTCTCTCCAGGCATCAGAATTCTCAACTTCATTGTCTCCCCCATCTTCATTAATGCATCTTACTTCTCCTGGAGTTCCTGACATCCACCTTGCTTCCTGTAGGCCCAGTCCAAACATTGTCACTAAGATCATATTCCTGTATATGTGGACTATTTTTCCCCTGGCTTCCCTGAAGCTCCTACTGACTTGAATAGGATTTGCAGTGTCCAGCAACTCAAAAAAAAAAAAATCCTCTCACTTTTTATTTAAGTCACTATGGCTCTAATCCTGCCTCTTTTTCTCCATGGGTAGGACTTTGATCACATGCAGATTACAAGTCACTTCCAATGGGTTCACAATGACACAGGACTGCGGAGCCAGTTGCAGAATTGGGGCCTAAAGTTAGGATTAAGGGGTCAAACGTGCCCAGATGGGTTTGAAAATACTGTCTTTGAGCAATGAATTAAATACTGTACTTATTTACCAGCACCAACATTGGAAATTTTAATCATTTATAATATCTTGTACAACACCCTAAAGCTTGAAGTATTCACTACGTCTAGGAAAGAAGGGGTTCTTAAAGTATTTGCAGAACAATTTGTCATAATACGCCCACTTTAAAAGGATGTGACCCAAAGGCACATCACCATGAGTTACTCAATGAATTAAAAGACAATTCATGCCTAAAAGGCTTCAGGCATTTCATTTAATGAAGAGATTAAGTAGTAATGCAAGATAATAACTTTTACTCATCTATGTAGTCAACATTCATGCTGTTACATGCTTTACAGTTAAACACAATTAACTAAACCTGAGTGAACATCAAGGATGCTGAGTGCAGATGAACTATTAACAACCTCACAGCTCAGTAGTAAATCATGAGCGAGTTGCAATTTCTTAAAAGAGTCAGTCTACTAGCATTAGCAACTATTTATTGAGGTTTGCCTGTGTATGATTCCACATGGTCTCACACTCAGAGAATTTACAGCCTAAATTAGACAGCACAGATTAGATATGGAATTCACTAGATGAACAAAACACTGGTTTGGATCTCTTAGCACAGGGCTACTCAACTTTGGAAGCCCCGGGGGCCACAAAAATACTCACAGCACATGCCGAGGGCCACAGTGTAAGTGTCGTTGCATATACATGCAAATATATATGCAAAAAGCTTCTTTCACTCTGACGGGCATGAATTCAAAGATCAAGTTTTAAGCCAGGGTGCCAGACCCAAACGTGGCCAGTGTGAGCTAGTCAGCACCTCTCAGGCTCTGCCCACTAAGCTAAGCAGCCAGCAATTCCCACAATGCCCTGGTGCTGCTGGCACCTCCTCCCTGGGGGTTAGAAACGCCAACACCCTGTACTCGTCCGCTCCAGCCAGCCCGTTCACTTGCATATTTCAATGCTCACCCCACCTGGGAGATGTCTCACCATTGTGGAATGTGCTCCTAGTGGAGGCCATGTTCAAAGGATCCCACCCACAGGCCAAGTGTTGAGCCCCGCATAAACTCAAACTGTTCCGCGGGCCGCAAACAAATGGGCCACAGGCCACATGCAGCCCATGTTGAGTAGCCTTGCCTTAGCAGTAGGGATGTGATAGCGTAAACTGCTGGCTCATCGGTTAACCTTCACAGTTACATGTAGTCCTCCCACCCTCACCTAGTGCTATACTGCCAATGTATCAGGTGGCTCTTCCTACATTTAAAAGGCAGAAGTGTTGCTCAGGTCTGCTTCTGTCCCGGCTTGAGCCAGGTCCAGACTGTTGCAGCTCTGCCTTTTAAATGTAGTAAGAGCCGCCTGGATCTGCACAGCACTGGGTCTTACTACATTTAAAAGGCAGAGCCAAAGAACCGCTGCATCTCTGCCTCCCTTGCCCCCCGCGCCCACTGTGGAGACAGTGCCCGGGGGGGAAGGGGACAGCTTTTAAGCTGGCTCTTGCCAGTACTGGCTCCTGTTTCCCTCCCTTTGATATAGAGGTAGCAAGAGGGAGAGGGGGGAAATGCAAGTAGTCAATTTGATAACCTAAGCCTAGACTTATCGGGTAGTCAACTATTGAATTCCTCTTTTACATCCCTAGAGAGGGCTATTTATTTTAGCAGCCTAAGGCCTAAAGAGATCCAGTGGCTGGAAGCTGAAACTAAACAAAAGTCAGATAAGAAATGAGGGACATATTTTTAACAGTGAGTGTAATTAAACACTAGAACCATTGCCTAGGGCCATAGTGGACTACACATCATTTGAAGTGTATTTTAAAAAGACATGCTCTAGCTCAGGGGTGGCCAACCCATTCTGGGCAAAGAGCCAACATAGCAGTAGAACCAGCACTAAGAGCCAGGGCAAAGTTGTTGAGAGAAAAAAAAAGGCCTGCCCCTTTAAGAAAACACATTTAAACATGTTTTGAGGCTTTTAGGCCACAGCAGGCTCGCGACACCATCTTTAATTCTCATCTTTCATGGCCACACCCAACAGCTCTCCTGCCCAGGTCAACACAGGGAGCCGGGAGGAGAACCCCATTTTTGGAGGTGCGGGGGGCTTCGTGAGCCTCACAGGGAGAGTTGGGGGGGCGGGGGAAGCCGCATGTGTCTCGTGAGTCTCGGGTTGGCCACAGCTGCTCTAGCTCAAGTAGAAGTTAGGGTTTTATTCAGGAATTGCTTAGTGAAATACTATGGGCTATTTTATACAGGAAGTTCAAACTACATGATCATAATGGCCCTTTCTGATCTTAAAAATCTATTAATCTATTTATCTCCCCAACCTCTTTTTCTGTTCCTGCCACTAAGTGTTTTGCAATGATAAATACTGATAACGAAGTAGTGACAAGACTCTGCATCATGTATTCATCTAGTTTCTGTAATGCCCCTGAAGTATTTAAAAATAATGTAACAATTTGTGTTTGAAGTCCTCCATTTAGTTGCAAATTTTTAAACAATCCAGTACAATTACAAACCCTTCTTTCTTGTACAAAGTATTCTCCCAAAAGCTTGTTTCTATTAAGCCATCCTGAACTCATCTAGAGATATGCTGTTTCCACTTCAATTGTTATTCCACCTGTCGTATAAGAGTTGGACTCTAAGGTTGTCAGTATAGGAACTCTGTCTTAACATATTTGTAAAAAAGCACAGGTTCAGGATACCAAATATAGACTAACATTACTAATCTAAGAGTATGCGTTGGGCAGTAAACTTGTTCACTGTAAATGTAGTAATATGAGCAGTGAATGTCAGATTCAGTTGAAGATTTTAATTCACTCTATGTTAATCCTCTTGTAGCAGGATATATTGGCAAAAACAAAAAAATGGCAATTAGTCATATGATGCATTGTGTTTTGTTTTCAACACATCTTAAAATTCATCTGAGATGCAATGGCCTATCAAAAATGATAAACTATATTTATTCTACTCTGAGAATACCAATTAATCTAAATTGTGGTTCAGACATCATCTTCGGAGTGACAATATCTTCTAAGTGAAACTATCTTTTTGTAAATATTCAGAGCAAGTGATGTTTAGTTTACTAGGAGAAAAATATTTCTGGTGTGGCAACAGATACTCAACTTCAATTTCTAGGTGAAATCAGGATGGCCAACCTGTTACAGATGAAGAGCCAAAATAGTGGTAGATACAGCGCAAAGAGCCACAGGAAAAAAGTTGGTGAGAAAAAAAAAAAGCCCCGGGTTGGCCACCTCTGAGCTAAATCATCTCAACTCCATCTATGTATCTTCTCTCATTTTGACACATTCAGCAACAGGTGTGTTTGCAGGATTAGAACCAAGTATTCATATTCACCTTTAAATTTAATTTCTCAGATGTAAAAGAGTGATGAAATAATTTAACATATTGTGATAAATGTGTAAGTGAAAATAATTCCTTGAGTTAAAATAAAAAGTATTATAACAGTAAGCATGATGTTGTTTTCAGGATTAGGCCTCTAATGTTACACAGCAGAAAAGGATGTTGAGACAAGTACTGAGACAAGCCTGAGATTAGAAGAAAGGAGATACTGTAATTTCAGTGACATGGTACTATGAAGCATAAATATAGGCCAGTATTTTCAAAACAAGCAAATTCCAACTAATTTAGCACGACGGTAGCACCTACATCTTTTGCTGGTCACCTTAGATTCTCCATTCTCTAATGCCTACAGAGATTAATTAGGAAAAAAAAGTATATTCTTATTTTGCTTGAAAGTTTTGTCTTGGCTTATGTTACTTTCTAAATTTAAGATTTTGCTTAACATATGGAAGGACAACTGGAAACGGAAGCCAGCAGAAAAGTGAAAAGCAGACCGGCCTTATACATAGAATGACAAAATACACCAGATCATGTGTTTTATATCCTCTATACTGAAACAATTTGAAAGTCTAAAAGGAAAATGATCCTTTTTCTATTTTCCCCTTCATTCTGCCTACCCACAGTTCATTTTTCTTTACATTAATTTTACTTGCAGAAACAGAATAATGCACCATAAAGTAACTTAATGCAAAATTATCATTATGGCATCGCCATAAAAAGTTATCTATCTATATTCTTTATATGAATGTTGTAAGACAGAATGCACAATCCTTCTAACTGGCAATACTTACTTGTCTCCAAAAAATTTCCTCCAGAATTCTGCAGCATCTGCTTTTGTGATACGGAAGTTGTCACCCTGGAATTGGCCATTAGGAAAGATTGCTTTGATTTCTGCCAGCATGTGGCTGAAGATCAGAGACAGCTTTGTAAGGTTTCGCCTGCAATTAAAAGAAAAAAATAAAGAGGGAAAACTTTAAAATCTTTAATAGGCCTTTCAACTTCCTGTTTATTTAAGGTGTTTGTATTATTATCTCATAAAAGGGAAACAAAGAACCTCCAATCCAAAACCTGGCAACTAAGTGTCTAACACATTTTCATGTCTTAATATGTTTTTGCAATCCAAGTTCTCTCATACATTCCACTGACAATTTACATATAGCTTTAAGCTTTAACTTGCAACAACAGAATTGAATTTGATTCTGTTTAGCAACTCTTTGTGATAGCTCACGGGCTCTCAAAGTTTTTTGGTTTTTTTAATCAAAAGATGAGTTAAACGTGTATGTTTTAGGATTGCCTACAAGCGCCATCCCTGTTCCGTTTCAATGCTGAATATTAGACAGACTGCTAGTAATCTAATTTGGATAATCTCTAAATATATTTTCATGTGTAGTATGCATCACATCTCGATTCAGTTTTCGGGAAGTATAAAGATAGCATTAACTGTCCACTCTATCACATTCCACTCATTCTGCCTGACACTTTTCTCTTGATTCTCTTCAGTTTCTCTTTACTTTAGTTGCTTCTGTTTCTTGCTTTCTTTACCAGGCCTCCTTAACTGTTAACATTTCCTTCATATTTGCAGTGACAAATAAAATCAATAATTTTGCTTCTAGTTCACTTCTGTAAGTTTTCAGGCTTCACATCAGTTCATTGCTTTTAGCAATTTAGTTTTGGTGACAAAAAGTTCCATTTAGTATAGTGAAAAGAACAACGCATCCTTCAACTCAGATCCTTTCCTGTGAAAGAGTTTGTGTGAAGAAGCTTTGGGAAGAAAAACTCTATAAGGCTTTCGTTGTGGCAATATCCTTTTTCAGTCTAGCTAAGAAAGAGAGAGTTTTTAACTAAACGTAGCAGATCTCTGAGTAAGTTTTTATATCTAATTAATCTGCAAAAAATGAGGCAAGAACCATTTTTAACTGTACACATTAAAAACTACCTTACAGCTCTCTAATGCTGCAAGCATTTAAACTACAAGCATAATACAATAGGTTTACTATCTGTAATTTTGTAATTGCTTGTAGCTTTTTAAAAGAGAAAAATTCAAAGTTATTTAAGGTTTTTCTAGATACCTGGGAAGGACAATTACTGAGGTTACCCATGACAAAGTAAATATCTTTTATAATATTATAAACATTTTCCCTGATCACCTAACTCAACATTAGTTGAACTGATTTCCCAAAGTCTTTCCATAAGGAAATGCAACTTAGCACTGACAAAAAAACATGTAAAATTTTATCCCATAAGACTACTGAAGAACTCATAGCGCTACCAAAAATAAAGAGAGAGAGAGAATGGAAACAGAATTGAAAATTGAAACTTTTACTATAAATTTTGCTATGAGGAAAGCGATGATAAAATAATGACAATTAAAAAATTAGATTTTAAAACATCAAATTAATATGCTGCCTCTCCACTCCCAGCCAAATGGGAGTTAGTTCTTCTGCAGTCTTTAATAAATCCAGTAAAATCAGATGTCTATAGTTAGGGTCTCCAACTGTTCCTTATTTTATGGATTTGTTCTCCTCTAACTCCCTCACCCCCACTCCCCACTCCCTTTGTTCTTTAATGAGGCCCACCTGATTTTTATTTTTACTACTCAGGCCTGAAACACAGTGTAAGCAAGGATCATCTTAGGGTGACCTTTTCAATCACCAAAGTACATCTCTAACATATTTTTAAAATCACATTCTCCTTCTACTTCCCATCTGTTCTCCACATCTGGAGGCCTGTTTCCCACATCATTACAGATTGAGTTTGGGAAGAGCTAACTGGAAAGACAGTTTAACATAGTTAAACTGATTTCAGTGGAACAAGTTGCACTGAAAGTGAGGCAAATGAAAGTTGCTGAACGCAGGCCAAGGATCTATTCTATGATTGGTGGGTTGGGGGGGCATTTGAATTATACAACCGTGGTTTTGCTCTGCAAACAACTCAGCTAAAGAAATATCGAGGAAGTAGTCATAGGCACTATTTTCAAATGAAAATGTTTTTCTTTGGTTTCGCTGAAAATATATTAATGCCCATCTCTTATTTAATAGTTTACATCAGTAAACCTCAAGTACTTCACCAGCAGAGGCAAATATCATTATCCCCACTTTACAGATCAGGAAACTGAGGCATAGGTAGGTGAAGTGACTCTTTCAAGATTGAACAGACCAATGGAAGAGCCAGGAATGGAACCAGAATCTTATGCCTTTGTCCAATGTTCTATCTACTAGACCATGCTAACCCCCTTGCATTTTCCATTTGCTATCTATAATGAAGTGTCCCTCAAAAAACAAAGTTATTATTGGTAAGAGTTATGAAATTTCATATTTTTACTGAAATAGATTAGACATAGCTAATAAATAATGGTGAATTTCTTATACAGTTGATGAGTTCTTTATTTTAAAATATATGTACAGATAATAAATAATTTATATCATCATGATCATCAACCAGTGGCTAAGTCACTGAGTTCCTATTTCATAAAATAAACTTTGGAAGCACAATTAGCGTGATGAATATTTAATTCATATTCTACAGAAGAATCTATAGCAGATATCTTAGATATCTTAGGCTATTCAGATTAGGCCTCAACTGAAATATGGTATGTGCAGTTCTGGACTCCACATTTCAGGTGGGATATAGGAGTAAGATTGAGAACTGTGATGCTTCTTGCTTTCCTCTCTGAGGGTGCGATTCACCTTGATTTGGAAAATGATTACACCTCATCTTTCCTCCTGAACTCCATAGGAGCTGCATGTAGGATCCCTCTGTGGAGTGACTGTATGCTACCTGAATACTGTGAAAAGGCACTCCATGACACCTAAGTAGCCAGACTGGTATTGTACTAAGTGCATATCAGAAAAGAAAATTCAAATGCACATTTCTGTGGTTCCAGAATCCTATGTAACCTGCTCGCAGGACCTTCAATTGCTAATTAAACACATAGACAACTGGTACTGGCTTGGAGGTGTTAATTTATTTCTCCCCACTGTCACACACTCCATGCATACAGAGCCCAAATATCCTTGATATTTGTAGGTGCAGTCAATTTCACCCTGGATGTGAATGGCTTTTCTTTCAAAAACTGAAGTTGTGGTGATGGGCTGGAAAACTGAACTGTCAACTCTTAAACAGAGCACAATTCATTATAAAACATGGCTGCAGTACCTCTGTGTTAATTAGGGTTAGTAAGCCACAGAAAGTCAAATGGACAGGGGACTGGACAGATTCCAAAGACCTGTTTTCATTTCCTAGCTCAGCCACATATGTCCTATGTGACACTGTGCAAATCACTCGGTTTTTAACACATCCCTACCTCACAGGGAGGTGGCAAAGATAAAACCTATTAATGAGTGTGAAGTGTTCAGATGCTAAGGATCATTAGGCCCCAAATATTAAACTATTTTAATAATGGTGTAAGGAGGCACGCTGGGTTTTAAGATCTGCATAGATGCAGACAGCCCTTTGTTCCAAAATCCCGAATCCAAATAGAAATTCCATATCGTACTTCACAGAAGGCACAATGCAAGTGAGGACATGACAAATGCCTATTCTACAAGCATTACAGTGGCACAGCTGCTGCACTGCACCCACACTGCTGTAACATAGATATTTATTACTGCGACACAGGGTTTTTCCATCACTACAGTAAATCCACTTCTTTTATAGACAGTTATAATGTTGATAAAAAATTGTTCTTGTACCTAGCTCTGTCTATACTGGGGATGAGGCTGACGTAACCACACTGCACAGAGTATTTCTCACAGCCATTATTATAGTAGGTAGATCTGGACCTCAAGTAATCCATGGCAGAACAGAGGAAGCCATGATGCAGGAAATGCATCAAAGAAAGTAACATCAAAATATTTTTTCTTCTTCTTTTCTGGATTGTCTCAATAAGATTAGTCAGTCACCTTATATCAAAGGACAGTTATTCTGTGGGAATATTTAGGAATATCTTTCCACTAACTAATTGTATATAGATTGTATTTTATAGGCTGCATGACTCACTTTTCCTCCATATCATCTGCCACCTGTCCAACAACGACTATAGATGCAAATACTCCTCCCCTGGATCAGCCTGATCTCCAACGCATAGACAATTACACTTTTCCATTCCACAGCCCACCTAACCCATCCAGTAGCTTCAACTTCTACGCAGAGATAGATTCACCAAGTACTGGCAAAGTCAGTGAGCATTCTGAAAGCATATTTTGATCATAACCCTGTATGCCACAGAAAAGGCTGCATTTTGCTTGCATTCAACACATACATTTAACTATAGCGGATCAAATTTTCAGCTGGTAGCATTCCTCTGCGGTCAAGGGGTATTGCATGATTGTCAACAGAGCTCTGCTACTTGTACCAATTAAGGATCTTCTTCCGAAACTATATATTTTTTTATTTCTAACTGTAAAAGAATATAAATGTTCTAAGTAATCAGCCTACACAATGAAGCAATTGCTTGTCAGAAACAGTTTTTTAAAACAAAGCCATCTGAGAGAACAAATAAAGCCAAGGAGAGTACTGGGTTTGTTTGCAAG